CACGCATGGCACAAGGCGTCCGAGTCCCAGTATTTCTCATTGTGGTTTTTTTTTTGTTTTTTTTTTAAATCTGGTGCAACGGTTTGGAGAGCTGTTTCTACAGAACTTCTCGCTGAAGACGGATTTCCCTGGGATGGGAGGCGGGTACAGTAAAGGCAACCGCAGGTGACAGAAAACCCAACAGCTGGCTTGCAGGCCGCTCCTGGAGGACTCAGCCCAAAGGCTGCCACTGCAGGCTCTGCCCTGAAACCGTTCCAGTTGCTTCTGTGGCTGCCAGAGGACACTCAACCTAGGCTTCGACCTGCTTGTTGCTGTTGTTACTGATGTGGGGGGACCCTAAAGATAGAGACACTGCTACCTGAAATCCCAGGAAAGGTGTTCATAAAATCTAAGGACAAGTTAGAAAGACTAAGCCACACTTTCGTCTATTTAACAAACTTTTACGGAGAGCCTACTACGTGCCAGGCAAGGCACTGAGGATGGGAGGTCGGAAGACCCAGCCACCTGCCTAATGAGTGACCTGGACATTCAGGGACCCCTGAATAAGCCCAAAGAAATGTTTCTCAAACTTCCGCACTAAGTACAGGGGATGCCAGGAAGCTCAGGATGCAAAGAATCCCATGAGGACAATTTGGAAGCAATTTGAATGATCCAAAATGGAAAAGAAGATCCAGCAAACTGCCAGGCTCTAGGACGCTCCCGTGGCCTCAGGAGATCAAATGGCCTGTCAGAAGTTTCTAGCGCCAACCCCCTGCATTTCTGTCCAGACTGCCTTTCTCAATTGGAGGCCCTTTCTTCCTGGGCCCTTTGAGTTCACCCACTGTGCAGGCATAAAAGAAACTCCTGCCTAAAATGGGAAACAAATCACTCCTACTCATAAGCCAACTTAGCACTCATGGAAGTGGGCCTTGAGAGTGGACATAGTATTTAACAAGCGTGCCTAATTGATTCCTAAATCTCTAACCAGGCTCCTTTCTTCCCCTTCACACTTTGTTCTCACGGCTGTTATCGAGTTCTGGGATGACTATGCTTGAGTTTCTTGAAAAGCATCATGAACATACAGAGGGAGAATATCTATCTATATCTATCTATCTATCTATCTATCTATGTGTGTGTCATATACATATGCATGTGAATATACATGTGGATATATATTATATTCATACATACATATACCACACACACACACACGTACACGTGCATTTAAATCAAGCTTCCTTTCATTCTTCCTTCCTCTTGAGTATCCTTTTTCCAAAAGTTAACTGCCTGGAACTGAATAGGTATTTTCCCATAATCTGCCAGGCAGAAATCAATGCGTAGCTGTATAAATTGTTCTAAAGTGACAACTAATTTGTGTAGGCACACACGTGTGTGCTTCTGTGGATGTGCCCAGAGCACTTGAGAATACCTTTATTTCTCACCTAAAAATAAGGTCCCTCTTCCCAGACTGCATTATGCTTTCCATCAATCTTTTTAAAAAACACTGTCACTCCATTTAATACCAAGTAGAAATAAATGGATTGATACTGTGCTTTTACTAGAATGAGCTGAGAAAAAAATACCTATCTGATCCCTTTCAGGTCACATGGATGTCATTAACACTTGATAATATCATAGATACCTTATTTATCCTAATTCTCAAAGTTGTCTTTCCAACACTGTCACTTGGCTGTCTTGAGGTGATATATAACCATTCAGGAAGAGCAGGATGCCTTGGAACCATCTGGTTTCCTTAAGACCTGAAGGCCCACATGGATACAGATCTCATTGCTTTCTTTTTGGTCATACTTTGTGTTTGTCTATTGCTTGGTTGGTAATTAAAATTAAACTCCTTGCTCCCAAACACAGTTTATTCTCCTAGAGAAAAAAAAAATGCCACCTCATTCTATCTGAAGTACAAATTTCTATTTCCAGAGTGACAACCATATCACACACCTCAGGAGAGGGAGAAAGAGCCCACAAAGAAACACAACTTCTGATTTCTGTTTTCTGACATCACATACACTGAGAATGGGGGGGGCGGGATCCATCTGTTCAGCGCAGGAGACGTGGTTTAAGGAAACGCCAACAGCACGCAGGGAAGAACCTGGAAGCAGTAAAGGTGACTGCAGCCTTGTGCTCTTTCAGACACTTGAGAGTCTTAACATGGCAGTGACCATTATCTACCTTTAATTACACGATCAGATTACTTGTCAAACATGTATTGTAACTTACTCTTGTGTGCTGTGTCCCATCCCTGTTTGCCATCCTATCAGACAGCATTATTTATTTCCAAACGGAAAAAAACCCCGCCCCCTTCCTGAACGTATTGTGCTATCAAGCAGGAGAAACGCATGATTGTCGGAATGAAAATCTTCATCCCTTGATGGCTTCTCGCCCCCTTCCTCTCAACCCCTCCGTCTCACAGCTGAAGACAGCCGGGTAGAGAACAAAACTGTACTTCAAACTATATTGTCAGGTATCTGCACTGCAGCCAAGAGACTGTCACTGTGGGAGCACGTGCAGTGCCGCAGAGCCTCAAAAGACAAAACCTGTTTTGTTTCCCCCAAGGTGTTGTGGTTACTTTTTCATACTGTAGAACTGGGCAGATAACCAAACACCTACTGGCCACAAAAGCGAATTACACTAGAGCCTAGAGGGCCAAGTGAGAAGCAAACAGAATGCAGACAATTAGGAGTGCGTACCTTCTCATCTACTTTAAATTTTTCGGTGCCTGCAAGTACACCAAAATGTACTGTTGCAATTAAAAGCTGGGCAGAAATCTGCTTCTTTGTGAGTTTACCAATGACTGAGTCTTCTTTTTGATTCAATATCTGGTACATATCTACTCTGTGTGAGGCTTTGCTTAGGTAAGGGGTGGGTGCAAGGGAATACCAAAGATACGTTGCATACCAGCTCATAATCATAGGTTTTTCTCCCCCGAAAAAGCGGCTGTTCTGAAAGGCCTGCAGTGGACAGTTGAGGAAAAAAAGGTACTTTATAATAGTCCTGGGAATCATTATGAGTGCTTAAAGCAGCAAAGGAAATTAGAGAAATGAAGTAGCTCTCAGAAGTAGAGCAAAACATGCAGTCATCACCTCTAGCCTCGCACTATATCAATTCTCTCTCAAAATACTTTTTTCTTCCTCTGGCAAACCCCTTCACTGATGTTTTCATACAGGGTCTCTAATCTCATCACTATATAAAGCTGCAGAATGCTAACTGGCAATATTTCCCCCTAACGCCTCTGACACCGGTTTAGGCTGTCTATGCTGGCCCCAAGGTTTAGTGTTTTCACTTATTTATTTATTTTGTAAGGATGCGTTTGGTCCAAAGTCATTCAGCAACAAGGCAGCACATCAGGAGGCCAAGTTTCTTGAACTGGGATCTAAGTCTATAAGCACTACAAATGGGAGAAGTTGGTTTTGGTCACCCTCCACCCCCTTCCCCGGGCAACCATGCAGGATGCAAGTATCTATTTGCTCTACCTGCAGGAGCTCTCCTTTCGGATGTGAAGCAATGAATCCCCCACAGGCTTCTCTCAACAATGATCTGGAAACACTGATGCAAAATTTATTATATAGTAAATTCCATTGTAAACAGTTCAGGTCTTCCTTTCTAGGCACACTGCAGCGCCTGGGCAGGAAAACTGCACTGTTCTTTAATAGGTGCAAAACATCTCTTTCACCCCTTCTCAGAAGCTTGCTAAATATAATAGCAGAGGAGTCTGCCAGCCAAGTGGCTTCTATTGTTTGGAGAGAAGTAAAGAGTGGACAGAAGCAGAATAATATCAGCTGGCTATGGGCAAAAGCCCTTTTACACTATGTTTAGGGAAGTTTCCATAAACATCAAGGCATCCTCTAAAGGTATTGCATATTGGGGAAAAAAATTTAAAAACAACTTTAAAAAAGTATTTAAACATTTGCATAGGCAAAAAAGAAAATACAGAATATGAATATAATCAGAAAAATCTGAGGTCTCTGGTAAGCCTCATTGTCAATATGCCTTTTATCAGAAGGGGGGGAAAAAAAAAACCCTTGGATGAATTGCATTAAGGATGCCTAGTCACTGGTACTGCTATTTCTAGAGTCTGCTTTCCAACCATTACATCAGTAATCACCCAGACTTACCGATTAAACCGGGGAGTCAACACAGAGGAAAAATTAGCAGTCATTTCAAAATTAAATCTTGCAATAATTTTGTTTTAATTGATACTTTCCCGTCAAGTTAATACATGCGTAGCGATAGGATACCAGCTCCTAATCATAGGCTTTATCCCATATGTGGGGATCCATGCCCAATTAGGCAATTCAGGAACATCTAGGAAAAAAGAACTCCTCTAAAACACACTACCTTAATTACGGCAATACAATAAACTCACCCTCACTGTTGTATCTATACGCATCAATTACTAGACAGGAGTCAGAAAAGCACACAGTAGGTCCACTACAGTAGTGTTAACACAACGCAAATGAATCACCTAAATGTTAAGTTTCGTTACTCCTCTTGATTTAATGGCGTTTCCTTACCATAAAAGCTGACTGTGTGGATGCTAAAAATAAAGTTACCTTTTTAACAGTCTCCTAAGATCTATCCTCACGCCCTTCAGATGCCGGTAGTAAAAGCAAGCTGCCGAATGTGTCCATCCAGAGCGGGAAAAGACCGGCTCTGCAAGGAAGCTGTGGCACTGCTCATGATACCGCATGAACATGGGGAAATTAGTTGTTAAAGCATTTGCTGATGATATGCCACGCAAGAAATTCCTTTAAATTACTATATATACACGTGTGTGTGTGTGTGTGTGTGTGTGTGTAAGGAAGAAGAACACGAGGGAAAAAGAAAGTAGAAGACGGAAGAACAGGAAGAAGAAAGACCAAAGCCCTGAAATTGCAACGAAGTTTTAAGATTACTTTTCCTTCTGCTTGCCACTTGAAAAACTAAAGTTTAAAAGGCCTTTGCTTTCTGCGGCGTCCTAGGAAGGCAGCCACTCTTAACAAACCCCAACTCATCTCCCGCCTTACCTTATGCTGCTAGCGCACACCCAGGGGCTAAGGGGTCCTGCTCTCTGCGGCAGCGGCGGGGGCAGCGGCAGCGACAGCGGCACATGCCATCTGTTAGCGGCAGAAGCAAAAGCAGCGCTGCGCGAGGTGGCCCCGGTGCCGGGAGAGCCTTTAGCAGGGGTGCTTACTGAATGCCGCCATTTTAAAGCGAGGCTCCTGAAATCATTAGATATAAGCAAATTAAAGCCCGCCCCACCTACAGAACTTCATGGCTGGGACGTGCAACCCTGCTCCGAGTCGCCGCTGTGGGGTGCAAAATGTCAAGGCCAGAGACACGCGCACGAGGACTCCCGGACGGCGGCGACGATCCCTGCGCTCGCCCCCCTCCCCGGCGCTCCCCCCTCCCCCCCGAGGCCCCCCGGGCTCCGGCGAGCCTCCCTCTTCAGGCCCGGAGGCGAGGAGCTTTTCTTTGGCTCCCCAGCGCGGGGGGGGGGCGGGGGGGCCGAGGCCGGGTCAGGCCGGCGCGCTGGGGCACAGGGGGCGCCCGGCCCGGGCCTCCACTCTCCCCCCCACCCCTCCCGAGCTCTTGGTTCAGTCCGCGCGGAGCACACCTCGGAGCTCCCGGCTCCCTCGCGGCGGCGGGCGTGGGGCTCCCGCCCGGGCTAGCGGCTGCCATGGCAACCCCGGCCCCAACCCCGCCCGGCCTCGCCAAAGGCGTGCCCTCCACCAGCTGGCCCGGCCGAGCCCGCCGCCGCTGCCGCCGCCGGTCCTTCACACACACCCCCACCCGCGCCCCGCCCGGCGTCCCGCGCCCCGCGCCCGGCCAGCGGGACGCGTCGCGGAAACGGCGCTGCTGGGGGGCTTCGGGCGCCAAAACGGCAACTCGCGCGCTACTCCGCCGGCCGGTCGAGCGGCGCGCGGGCAGCGGGAGCGCGGGGCTGGCCCTCGGCCGTCCGGCCCCGCCCCGCCCCGGCCAGGTAGCGCCGGCGCGCCCCGCGCCGCCGCCGCCGCCGCCAACGCCAACGCCAACGCCAACGCCAACGCCAACCTCACCTGGCTCGGCGTGCGCCGCTCCTGGCCCGGGCTGGCCGCTGCGGACCGGGCGGGAGTCAGGCGGCGGGCGGCCCCCGCTCCCGCGCCCACTGGTGCCTGTCCTCGGCCTCCTTCCCGCCGCTCCCAAAGAGCGCCAAAAGTCGCGCTCCCGCTCCGAGTGCGGGCACTTTCTTCCTGCAGGGCGCTGTTTCGTCGCCCGATGTATTCTTTGTGTGCTTCGTTCATTCGTGCGTGGTTCTCAGAGGGCGCCGCGCGGGCTTTATTCTCAGGGGGTGTGGCGCCTCTCCCCCCAAACCCGGCGGCCCAGCCCCCGCTGCAAACGCTCTTTGTCGTTTCTTTATTAAGGGAATGGGGGACAAATCATAACGCTCAGGTTTTACAAAAGCGAAAACAAACAGAGCTCGCACACATCCCCGGCGAGGGGGGAGGGAGGCGGCAAAGTTTCTAGAGCTTCAGGAACTGGAGTGCCAGGGAGAAATGCCGTGTGGTTCGAAGCTGTACGCTTAGAGTCTCTTCAGATACGGGTAAAGTGAGACAGGTAATTTCAAAAATGACCTTAGTCAATAAATATATCGGCTCACTGAAGGCCAAAAAAAAAAAAAAAAATTACTCACCAGCTGCCTTCCTGGGACCTCCCTTCTATAAAAGCCCTGATCTTTTACTTCCCTTTAAGAACCTCAGACAGGGAAATGTTGATCTGTGCCAATAGCACCCTTTCTTTGATGGAGTTTGACAGGTAGCAAGAGCCCTAAGGTAGGGTCCCAGACACTTGTGAATTGGGAAAAGGACAAAGCCACTGCAATTTTATATTTTGCTTAAAAAAACATGCATCTGGGCAGCTAAATTACCAGTTTCGATCTAATGCAAGTGTAATAGGAACACCAGCTGTCCCTTAATTGGAGCCCCACAATGATAAACGCGTGCTTTTATTTAATTTTACCAGGACAATTGTAGTTGATAACATACGCTTATGCGAGAGCCTCGGTGACAAGCTCATAGCAATTCATGGGCTGCTCTCCTGCCATGAACTGCTTCACCCCAATACAGAGTTCTACATGCTCTCCAGAAAGTGCAGAAAAACATCGCAGGAGATGTTGAAGTTGCAGTTAGGTGGAGGAGCTGAGCGAATTCTCAGGCTGATAATATTTTTTAATTCTGCCGGACTGATCCCAGTAGAATTCTCCAGCTAATTTTAGGCAAGAAATCAATGTCTGTTTGTTAAATGCCAGATAATAGGAGCGGGATCTTAGTGGTTGGAAGGAGAACACTGGCATAAACTGCCCTTTAAATAATTGAGACACCCCTCCCCCCAACCCATTTGGCAAGCATTGTGAAAGTTATCAGGACAATGTGCAGGGACAGTGCCTGATACTTGGGGTAGTCATGGGTAGAATCCTAGCCTAAGTCGAACAGAAGGCAGGAGTTTCTAGTAATTTGGGGGGGGAGGGAAAAAAAGAAAAACTGATTCCTAATCCCCTCTGCCCACCTCCTTTTGAGCTTGCCAAATTACCTGCACTACTCTAAACGTCAAACTGGGCTGACCTGTAAGGAGTGGCTTTGGCAGTCCAGGAACTACCATAACTAAAAGCAGGAGGTGTTGGAAAGGCAGGGCTGACTTATATAACTTTATACCCAATGATCTAACAAATGAGGAACTGTTATCACAGTGAGTCAACAAAGGAGTCTTTATACTAAACATAACTCGTGTCAACACCAGTGCGTTTACCTCTGTCCACCACTGCAAACCACATCTCCTGTGGGGCACTCTAGGTTTCCTTAATCCCACACAAACTGGCTCAATTTTATTGTTACTGCGTTGGTGAAATAATTGTTTTATTATAAATGTAAGGTCATAAATAGGTCAATTTGCTAGCTCTCGGGATAGCATAGCTTCAACCTATTCTTTTGCTGGCAGCGTCTGACCAGCGCAAGTTGCAAATGAGACTTTATTATTCTCTCTTGTTCACGCTGGAGAGGAAGACAGCCTTATAAACAAATTTTAGCCCCGTAAATTGTCCTCCTTGTACCCAGGCTGGTACGGCCTCCACAAATGAAGCTAGGCAAATTTCCATGCCACCGGGTCCCTGGGGAGTGTTCTCAAAGACAGTGGGAAATTGCTATCGCCTCCCCTCAGCACTGTAAAAGGGCTTATTTGCTCTTTAGGGTGGCCTCACCTTGGAATTACTTTCCACTTTAGTAGTTAGAGCTACCCAACATTTTCTTTTCTTCCCCCTTAGGCATGATTGGGGGCAGGACCTGGGAAAAATCGAGTTGTGCACTGACTGAGCACAAGATGAGTTCTTAATGTATATACATTATAGTCTCTGAATTCTTTTTTTTAAAGATTTTATTTATTCATTTGTCAGAAAGAGAGAGAGAGCACAAGGAGGGAGAACGGCAGGCTGAGGGAGAAGCAGGCAGAGGGAGAAGCAGGCTCCCTGATTCCAGGAGCCCTGATGCTGGCCTCAATCCCAGGACCCTGGGATCATGACCTGAGCTGAAGGCAGTTGCTCAACTGACTGAGCCACCCAGGTGTCCCTACTCTCTGCATTCTTACACTTGTTCCCCCATTGCATTTTGGGCTAGTCTCAGAACCACTATTCCTGAGGGATCTTCAACGGTAAGTACCTCCCAACACCTGGATTTAAATTTTCAGTCCTGTCGCTCTGCCCCAGCCAAACAGAGGTGTACAAAGCATACATTTAAATACACTCAGGGAACACGCTCCCGTACTCTCACTCTGTCTTAATGCTTGAGCATTAAGTAATGGACATTTACACAGACAGATGTAAGGCTAAAACTCTAGATAAGGATATAGCAGCCTCTCAAGTGACACATTCTTCCAATACATATAATTAACTTTGAGGTGGGAAAAGAATTCTCAAAGTTACATAATGGTTTAGTAATAGAAGGATTGTTATAATGTACAACCTAACGAATGTTGCTGTGTTTTCAAAGATGCTGGATGGGTGGAGATCTTGAACTCTCAATATATCCTACCAAAATTATCCTTTTACTCCTGTCAAGGCATATAACTCATTTATTATTCCCTTTATTTTATTTTATTTTTTAATTTTTTATTGTTATGTTAATCACCATACATTACATCATTAGTTCTTGATGTAGTGTTCCATGATTCATTGTTTGTGCATAACACCCAGTGCTCCACGCAGAACGTGCCCTCCTTAATACCCATCACCAGGCTAACCCATCCCCCCACCCCCCTCCCCTCTAGAACCCTCAGTTTGTTTTTCAGAGTCCATCGTCTCTCATGGTTCGTCTCCCCCTCCGACTTACTCCCCTTCATTCTTATTATTCCCTTTAAAAGACTGTCAATGGATACCATTGGCCATCCGGGCAGGGTCATGCTATGCCCAGAAGGTGAAGGATCTCCCTCCTCTTTAGAACCTGTAGAATTATTCTCACAGCCTAGCACTATTATCAAATAGTTAAGTACCCTTTGCTGCTGCTCTGTTCTTGCAATGTCTCCACAGGCTGAAGCCCCACACCAGCATTTGTGGTCATTCCATACAGAACGCTTGGCCATTTAAGGGTGGTTGAATAGCTAGCTACAAGACATTGATTATTCATCCATTTCTGAAGTCTTTTTCATTCGGAGTTGGGAATTGGGGGTTTGGGATTCACACAAAGGTTCTGACTAATAAACGGGGTAAGGGGAGCAGAATTGGGTTGTCAAAAAGGTTTAGACGATCAAAGAGATGTTGGCTTCCAAGGTAAGCCCTTTGTACAATGATACAGCCTGTTTCTTACAGAAGAGAGAAGGCAGTGTGCTAACTGGTTGCACACCAAAATCATTGCAAGCCTAGGTAGTAAGTTGATGAACAGTTCTCAGGTTGTAAAGAAAACTCCTGAAATTCGGATTTTTCTTTCACTTGGGCAAAATTTTCAGAATTCTCTGGATATGTTCTAATAAACACAAAAGACAACAGGAAAAACAATTATTGAAGAGTCGCATCCTCCAAACCACACTTAGGCCTGGTGGATTTGTAAAACAATTTTCCCCTCAAGTCTTTGAAGAACTTATCATACAAATTATCCCTGAGTATTGAAAAGTATGGTTTGATTCTTAAAATTCTCCTTAGAGGGAAATGTGGTAAGAAGGAGACAGACAAAAATTATACAAAAATCTAAGGATAATAGAA